GGATGGATACACCAATACTTCCTTGCCTTTTAGATATAGCACTACGCTACTATTAGAAATTACTGATTAGAAATGCACAAAACCCGGAATACATTCAACATTTTACTCAACAATGACAATGGTAAAAGTAGAATTATTTTATATAGTGGAATATAAAGCATTAGAAAAATTGGTGCTTTGGAGTAAACCAAAGAAAAAAAAAATTCAGAATTTTCTGATCTTTCATTTAAAAATGCTCACAAAATACTGTGCAAATGGCTGGTGATCGTATACCCAGAGTTTCTCATCCTCATTTCATAATGTATCACTCCTTCTTTATGTTTTTTGCCATATAAGGTTACCTTGCGAGGCAGCTGGATATGCTGGATCGGGGAAATCTAGAACAGCTAGAGCAGTAAAAATGGTATCGCAAAATCCCTACTGTGGGACATATTTTTACCATTGCACGATATATTTTGTATATATTGATTGTTGTGCTTTTATTTATGTCTTAGTGTGTGCATATGTATAAAACAGTCTGTTGATTGTGTATATATCTAGGATATACATAGTTTTATATATATTTGTATGTTTGTATTCGGGATTGTGGGAAACGGTATTTCGATCTCTCTGTCTGTACACACAAACTGAAAGATTGGCAATAAAGTATCGCCATATTGTCCCACCCCATTTAACAGTGTCAGTTTCTCACCACACAGCTGGAGTATCCGATCCCTGCCAGCCGGGGGGAGATGAACTTCCACACCCCGATGCTGCCCTGTCGGATGGCCTGCCCGGCCGCCAGCTCCAGGAAGAACAGGGGGATCCCCATGATGAGCATGAGCAGCACATAGAGGAGGAGGAAAGACCCTGAGGACAAGGGGGGGGGGCAACACTGGGTTAAGGCAAGGCAAGTCAAGTTTATTTATATAGCACTTTTCAACACAAGGCAATTCAAAGTGCTTTACAAAAAATGAAAGACATGAAGAAAATGGCATTTAAAATCAGTCATTAAAAAGAAAAGTTAATAAAATGAACATTAAAAGAAAAAATACGTGGATAAAAGTTACAGTGCAGTCTAAGATATGAATAGTTCAATTAAAAGCAGCGACAAAAAGCCAAAAAAAAGGCTTTCTGTTGAGCCAAAGCCTCAACAGAAGCCGCCAAAGATTAACGTTTAAACTAAAACAAGAAAGTATTAAATTGTCTAGGACTGTATCCTAGTGTTCAATGAAGATTCTACACTGGTTCCCCTGAAACGGATATAATCCAGATGTCGTAATAGAAAATGAAATACACTCCCGTACACTCTTTTTTAATCACATGTTCACCCTGGGAATGTGACCCTGACTGACCCTTTAAATCCACGACTCACAACACTTGAGTTTGGTCTCATGGGGCCCACAGGAAACAATCCTGTTGCGTCATTTGAAACGGAGGACAATAATAAAGACTCACCTCCTCCATTTTGATGGCACAGATATGGAAACCTCCAGACGTTGCCGAGCCCAACGCTGAACCCCACTTGAGCCAGAAAGTACTCGACCTTGCTGTTCCACCCTGCTCGCGCTGCAGGCTCAGACGGGACCTCCTGCATCTCGTCTCCAGCGAACCCAGTTGTCCCCGAGTCTGGGGCTCCTGTGTGGTCATCGTCTGTGGGCAGGGGCTGCTTCTCCATCTGAGAGGGGACAGAAGAAAAAATAACTGGTCAAAATGTGAACCACTGCGCTGAGACTGTGGCTGATCTTCCTCGACAGTCAACCTTAGATTTATGGGGATTTTTCTGCAGCGAAGGAGTTTTTTTAGGGATAATCCAGACATCTGTGGCCTTTACTTGTGGTGTACTACAAATAGTACTTTTCTGACTCCAGCAAGCAATGATATCAATATTTGGTCTATTGCCAACTATATTTCTCCAATACAAGGCATTTGGGGTAAAATGGCGCATACATGAACACAGTAGGAGAAATGTAAAAGTAAAAACAAGTGCAATAATATATAATAAATATTGTAACATAAAAATGCATTATATTATCATACTTTTCATTAATAAATACTTGTAAATTCATTTAAATGTTGTAGTTTGAAGTCAGTTTTGTATATTTTGTAAAACACTTTGTTTTGAAGTAGTAGAGTACTGTACTCGAGTAAATCTACTTAGTTACTTCCCACCTCTGAGTATGGTTTTCCAGTAAATGTACTTAGTTACATTTCACCACTGATATTTTGTCCACCATATATATATGGTGAACCTTGCATTAAGGTCCTATATATATATATAGGACCTTAATGCAAGGTTCATTCAGGTAAAGTAACGTTACATCCCCGACTATGTGTCTTTGTCTGGACTCACGCAGAGAAAACACACACAAGTCAAAACAAAAACAAGTGAGACCCTTTTAGGGAAAACATTTAGAACAGGGTAAAAATGATCATATTGAAAGTATATCTATGTTATTGAGGGAATCCTGATACAAGACCATGTGCATCCATACATTAAAATTGACACTGTCTTTGAAAATATACAATAAAACAAATGTAAACCGCACACACACTTCTGACAGACACACTGAGCTGTCACCAGCAAATATCGTTAAAGAGGAGGTGGAATAAAAACCCGAGTTGCCAGAAAAGAGAGATTATAAGCGATACAATGTTACTCTTCTGTTGTATTAAAGGAGGAAATGAACCCATGTGGCTGGTCTGATCTGTCACTGTGTTCGCTGCGAGTTATCCTTCGTTTCCATTTGTCAAATGAAATGCAAAATATCAGACATTTGTATTCTATGTTTGACTGAGACGAAAGATATATAAAAACACGTTTGAGCGCTAAATGTGCAAATTCTCTTACCGCGCCCGCGTGTCCTCAGCTTCCTTTCACGGTTGTGGTTACAACCGTGGCGTGGGGTTGTTCTGCGCATGACCAAATATTACTAAAGGCTGCGTTCATGGACTGCAGGAAGTATGTAAACCGTAGTTAGCGCGGACACAAGTAACCTGGGGCATTCATTTGATATCAAGGACGACAATTCCCAGGCTTTTTTTATTAAATCATAAATCTAATAATAAAGTAGCTAAGACATACATTGTTGCATCTTAAATATTTATATATATTTATTATAATTTCTTTTTGGTATTGATAATGTGGGTTCTTCACCGCTGACATTGTGCGGTTGAACCCCTGGCAATTGGCATGTTTGATTGTTTTGTCTGTATTTGTCCCAAGATGCATGACATGTGCAATTTTCTCAAGAAATAATCAAACAAACCAAATATGTTGCGATAAATAGTTGTATTACTCCATTATCTATTAATGTGTTGAATTTCTATCAGTTTTTATTGCCCAATGTTTAATTGCTTGTTTGTTCAATTAACCATCCAAATTCTCAATTCACAAGATTTTAAATAATAACTCAAATAATCATATTTAATAAACTGGAACCAGTTTACTTGACCATTACTTGAGATATTCATCAATTATCTAATTTGTTGAAACATTTTCAACCAAGATGATAAATGATGAATCAATATCACTTCAATATAATATTAATTCGCAGTAGAAAAAAAAGTTAAGTTCAAGTAATTTATGTAGATATAGCTTTCCTAAGTACTTGGTTATTTTTCGGTTATTTTCAATTACATTTCAGTGGTTCCCACAGTTACAAGAGGGTCCCTGAACGCAGCATCAGCCCAAACACTGATCCTTTAAAGTTATTTTCCAACATGTGTGACTGTATGCATCCAGTTTAGGGTTAAACGTGTTTAACATGCAGTTTAATAGCATAAATGGGACCCCACACTTCCTATATGGTTTCGTAAAGTCTTTAATTGACATGACATCAATTTAAATAGTAAGGTTTTCAGTATAAAGTCGAATCATTTGATCTCCTTTGATCCACGTTTTATCAGTTGTCAAACATAACACCTGGCAAATGATTATTTTTGATTCAGCCTACTGTTAGATATATCCATTCATTAAAAATAAAAGTACATCCAGGCTGATGCAATAGCTCCTGTGGTTGAGAGGGGAGTTCTGCTCCAAAGGTGGAACGTGGAAGTAATAGCTTTTATTACACGTGTTTGCAACATTCAGTACTTATTTTCCATCAAAGGTTTCTATAACAAAGGATTCATCACAGTCACACTGACCTGACACACACACATACACACACACGCGCGCGCGCGCTGCATGCCACGTAGACTACGCTTGTTCGGGATGCACATTAAACACACTCTCTATTCGAGAGTGTGTTATACCACTACCAACTTGTTTCACTACAATATCATCTCTGCATTTTGGAAAAACGACATGTATTTATGAAAAGGTGGTACATACCGAGTGGTTTTAAATAATAGAGATCCTTGAAAAGTTTTCCAAAATGTCCCAAAGTCAAGTGGTAACCTCGCTGGCTTCCACCTGACTCCGCCTTTCCTCCTCTGTTGGCGGATACCATGGACACTTGTCCTGTTATGAAATATGACACCCCACATTTCCAACATGTATACATCATGCCTCCACCACACTCCCCACACTAAGGCATGTGTTTAAAGTGGTTTAGTTTATTTCTAAGGTGATTTTAAAGTTGCTACTAACAGTAACTTGCTGAAATATGTGTGCAAACAAAAGGCAACTTTACAATGACTCTTTATCTGAAGTAAGGACGTTTTATTTCTTCATATTAAGGTTTAAATGTGCTTTACAACCTTTTTCTCACCGCTGGAATCATATTCTGCTGAGTGAATAATGAATGTTGGTTAATTTTTTGTTCTTAAAAGTGGTATAAATGAACCAAATTTACAAAAAATCCCACATTTCAAGAGAAAATACAGAGGAAATGACCTCAGTTTTGACATTTCAACCTAAGTACTTGCACAATTATCACAAAAAGATTGAGATTTGCTCACTTTTTAATGTAGGTGTACAGGAGAGTGAGTCAATATTTTTATCTCTAAGGTGGGGTGGTACACATGGGCGGGACGCTGACACACCTCTGCTCTGTAAAAGCTTTCAATACCAAAGAGAGGAGCGTGAGTTACACTGAGACTCAGGACAGGTTTTACTCTCAGTATAAACACACTTACAGGCTGCTAACATCAGGGACAACGACTGGAAGAGTATCAACCTTGGTAAGTTCATCAAACATCCATTTTTACTATCTGTAAGTATTAGGAACTCTTAAAATGTAAGACTACTTTGATAATGGTGTACAATAACAATACATTAGAAACTGCAATGAAAGGCATTGTGAAACTGGTGCCTCTAGTTATGAATTATGATGAGTAGTAACTGTTCAAGATACTTGAATTAATGCTAATTTGATATTTGTTTGGTTCATTTATTAGAATATTAATCAACTTTGGTGGAGTTACTGAAATCAATAACGGGACATGTCCCTTTTACAACACATGTTTCACTGTTTTGTAAAATGACGAGTGAAACCTGATATGTTTCCACCCAGAATGTGTTTAATATGTTCATTGGGGTGTACATACAGGAGATTATAACAGTACTGTGTGGCTGATATTGTGTTTTTTTGTGTTTGGGTTGATTTCTTTTATTTACAGTGGAATTAACTCAGCCAAAGTCTTAAAATGTGTTTTCACTTAGGACAAATGTAGACATATTATAATTGTGGTTAGACTTTATTTTGAAATCCCACAAAAGGCCTGTTATATAAAACCCAAACCACACCACTTTGGTGTTGGCTGTATGCACAGATGAAATGGAAAATATCTTTGGTCGAGTATTTATTTTTTCAATGAAACCGGTCTTAAGTGATACTGGACGTCTGCTCTCTTGATACCAGTGGTTCCAGTCGGCTATTAATGGCCCGCTGAGGAGCAGAGAGGTTGAATAGCGAGGATCATTGTACTGTTGTCAGACTGGTTGGGCAGCTCATAATCCAACGTTTCTGAAGCGAGGCTGACTCAAACAGAGGAAGGCACATATTGTAAGAGGATGTTGCTTTTGAAGGTACTGGTTAAGACGTGTTAGTTTAGAGACAAACAGCTGAGATTAAACAGCTTTAAGAGAAACTACAGCCTAGGGTAAATATTTTAACTGTTATATATGAAACTTCCCGAGGTGGTTACTTACAGTAAAATAACTTTTTTATTTCAAGTTTTCTTTTTGTTTAAGCATGCCAATGAGGCATTTTTCTTATGAAATATGTGCTGATTCTCATGCATTGCCGGAACAGATACTGAACCTTGGATGAAGCCAGGCTCAAGTTCATTCTTGTCTCATTTTGTTAACACATTAGAGTGAATGGATTTCTTTCAGAGGGATTCTTTGGGTGTCTTTGTAATGACTCCATAAATAAGAAAATAGTTAAAGACATGACTTTGGTTCCAGGAATGAAATGTTCTTTAAATCAGGCTGTGAATGATTTATGAACAACCTCCTATGTCAAAAGCCTCAGAATGTAGAAAGGAATGGCGGGGAATGTTTTGGTTATTGAAGTTCTACAGAAAAAAACATTGAGAAAACGGCATTTAAAGATACGTTTCAATACATTTTGTGGAACACTACCGGTGTTTGAAGTGGAATATCACCATTAAACTTTCCCAGTGGATCACATACCTTAAAACTATATTATTTTTGCAATACATGTTTTCTAAAATGTTATGTTCAGATAAGAAGATTAAGCATTATCTGATGCTAACCTTTGGTGATTTGAGGAGAAATCTACAGACAGAAATAGACAAAATTATTCAAATAAACTCCTTAAATGTGAGTTCTGGGTGTCTTAATCTAAATGTTATGGAAGCAACATAGCCAACATTCTCAAAATTAACCATTGCATTATATGCTATGTCAGTGGAACAAAGGTCACTGTATCTCAACCTAACATGTTATCTAATCCCTTGTCTCTTTCCCCATTCGTAGAAAGCTCGTATAGCTTTCTCAAACCAGGCAAAGGATGACAAACATCTCACGATATCTTGTCAACGTAAGTCTAATTGTCTCATAATAACATTAATAGAGATGCCTTCCTCTTCAAGTTTCCTCACCCTCCTTTATCTTCCTGTTTGCAGCACCTGCTGACATTCTCTCTCAAAGATGGTGAGGTGATCAATGTGGAGGAGGCCCAGGCCCGGCTCTCCTTCCTGGCTCAGAGCAAAAAGCTGTGGAGTCAACAGATGTTCCTGGATGTTGGAGTTAAGGCCGTTCAACTCCGAGACATACAGAACCAGGTGGGAACAGATGCATGATGGTCAAGAAACGAAAGATGGTGTGAAAAGCGTGCATGCATACTGACATTTGGCTTCATGTTTTTTTGAAGGATGAGCTGGAGAAATACCCTTTCGCATCCATCTTCCGCTGCGATGCCGTACACACAGAGAAACACTTCCCGTCCCTCCTCCAGCTGGTCTGCCAGAGTGCAGATCAGAAGAAGCCCGACATCCTCTTCTTCAACTGCGAGGATGTGAAGGTGAGTAATGACGCCTGAGCTTCCTCCAATCTGTGCGTCACTTTTTTATTTGTGTGTACAGTTCAGGTTTCACGAGTGACGCCACTTCCTAATTCTCTCTCTCACAGGCACAACAAATCTGTGACGACATCGCACGCGCAGTTTCTGCTCCTTCCACCGGCAGGAGTAAGAAACCTGATGCTCTCAGGTACAGTGAATGTCATGGTCAAAAACGTAAAAATGAAGACTTTAAAACGAGAAACCATTCATTTTTATATCAGTTCTTGTTAAAATACAAGCTTAAAAGCGGCTAATTTCCATGTCTCATTGTGTTTTTAATTTAAGAAAGTGTGTCTATGAGTGTTTGTTTGCATTCACATTGTATCGGAGGAGGTTCAAAAGACAGACACTGACAATACATGACCACTCAGACCGATCTCTCCATTAAACTGTTTGTGGTTCTCCGGTTTTTCTGCTGCTATTATATAACATTTCCCACTGATTCAAAGCATCCACCTGTCCGTGAATGAGTGGGAGAGAGAGGACGGGGTAAACAGCTGAGCGAGAGAATAACCTGTTTTACCGGTTTTGGCATAACTTAGGAAGGTGTGACAAAGAAAACAAGTCCAATGTGACAGAAAGCACAGAGAGCAGAGGAGGGAGAATGGCGGCAGCGCTGTGCAGTCTGTGGCTGTAACCTGAACGGATTACCTGATTTTTAAACCACTATTTGTATTTAAGGACGTTTAAAGGACATCATAATGTGGTAAGACCAATTGGTGGCTGTTTTAGATGCTGATTCTTAAGTAAGTTTGATTCAACACTCTTACAGGTCTTTGTAAAGTTTGATTCAACACTCGCAGGTGTTTGTATAGAAGGCAAACATGCAAAAAGTGTGTCCACCTTTCCATTTAAACTGGTTTATTGCTTGCTTATTTGTTTGAGAGTTTAGATAGAAGCACAGTGAAGTCGTGAGAAAGCTCAGTGAGAGTGTTTACAGTACGTTCAGAGTGGAATAGGGGCTGCGGGGTTGAATTTCACACGCATCTCGTTTTATCTGTTGATAGAGGAGAGTGTAATCTGGCTCACTAGACAAATATGTCATCCTGTTGTAGCGTTAGTTTGCATTCAAAATCAGGATGAGCCTGTCTGCGATCCAAAATGTGTGTGACTACTTTATGGGTGTTTCCCTTTTGTCGTGTGGATTAAAAAAGCGCCCATCAAAACGACGGCTGTCAACATCACCTGAACTGTTGTTAAAGCTCTCCTCTCGTCCTCTAGGCTTCCTCAGAGTGGGGGGGGTATGATCGACCCGTATGAAATCCCAAGCCACCCCATCCCACATGCTCCAAACGCCCCTCCAGCCAACCCTCCACCTTACCCTGGACCCAGAGGTAAGGGAAACAAAAAATGTTCACATGAATGCTTGTGTTTGATTGTAGAAGTATTTGGAGGGATTTGATAAGATGAGAAGGGAAAGAGAGAAGCGAGAGGTATTTAGGAGCACAGAGATTGCTTTGTGTGTTTGTGTGTGTCTAAGGGGGAGGTGGGTTTCAAGGGTAAAGGGGGAAGGGATTCCTAATGCAGGAGAAACCAAAGCTGAGTGGAGAAATGGATGAACTGAATCCTATCTTCTCTTCCCAAACAGCGAACGGCATAAACGGCGGGCAAGACATTTCCTTCCTGCGAGCAGAGAGAGAAGTGGTACGTGACATTCAGGGTCTTTAATGTCACCTTTTGCTGTCATTCACATCTGGACAGAGTTATAAACTGCTTATTTCATTCCTCAGGGGATCCTCAATCACTGCTTCGATGACATTGAGAACTTCATGGGCAAACTGCAGCAGAATGCGGACGCTGCCACGGTGCTCAACCAGAAGAAGAAGAAGAAGAAGAAAAGTAAAAAGCAAAGTGCTGAAGGTAAACAGAGATGCATGGACTCTTTTGCACACGATACTCAAGTTGAAATCACACTGCTATGGATCCTGATGCCTGATTTTCTTGTGTTTTTCTCTGAATAACAGAAGACTTACTCACTGCAAAAGCCCGCCCTCCAGCAGAGGAGGAATTTGTCGATGTCTTCCAGAAATTCAAATATTGCTTCAGCCTGTTGGTGTGTATACGAACCATGACACGTTTCCCTATATCTTATCTTGCTGTGACACGTAGTAAATGACTCTATTTATATCTTTGAAGGCTCGTCTGAAATCAACAATCTCCAACCCTTCATCAGAAGAGCTCGTTCACCACGTGTTAAAACCTTTGGATATGGTGAGTGCTTTAACCATCCACGCCTCCACCTGTTGTTGGTGTAAACACAAACACAGGTTAAAAAAAGACTGAGGAAGGCGTGATACATATTTATATAGCCTGTTATTATTCAATAGACAGAAATAATTATATACATAAAAGGGGGTAAACAATTGCAGCATAGCACAGCAATAAGTCATACATATAAATAGGAAGAGAATAAAATGAAAATATTAAAAGACAATTACATCAAAGATAAAGACATGAGTACTATTATACATTATTATAAATATATTGAGTCAGTAAAAGTTGTATTTCATTATTCTCAACATAACTTAGGTGGCTTTACACAAGCAAGAGTTAAAGAAGGTGACAAATATCTTTATATAAATCTCACACTTTTAAAAATGTTACAATATGGCAGCAGATAAGCAGAAGATTGTAGATGAAACATGTAAAATATAATTGTTGTTTAATTGACTATTTAGGTTATAGTACAATTGTATTGTCTGCATGTTTGCCTCCGAGGTACAATACAACTAAAGCAAGTATATGTCATGTGTATTTGTAAGTGTTCGTTGTATTTGGCAAAGAAACTACATCCAGTATTGACACAGGGGCGTTCCCTGTCAGATAGCCTCATAGAAACTCAGAGTGCTCAGCATTTGTTCAGGCTGTTTAACGTGGCAGTATTTGTATGCTGGTATGTGTTCTTGGTACACTTGGTGAGATATTTGGTCTAGATTTAAGCTCTAACTACCAAAAGGGCACATCACTGTCCCCTGGTTGCTGCTTTAAACCACACGGTGAATAACAGCTGTCAGAAATAGGATATGTTAACTTACTTAAAAAAAAAACAAGAGCATTAACAGAAGAGTATGGCAGGTTTATTAACTTCCAAACTTCCAAATCAACAGTTCTCTAATTAAAGTGACAACAGTAATTGCAATGTGGCCTATTCATTTAATTGTTTTAAAATGTGAAGCATCAGGCATGGAATTGAAGGTGTGCCTGGTATGTTTGATCTAACATTAAAGTCATGAGTTATGATGACTATGTCATAGAGAAGCAAAGGGTGGAAAGGGTGTGTTTGATGTGCGTGAATGGAAATAGCTTCATATTTGTCCTCTGTTGTTTGTTCTGGGATGCATCCATTAGGCTTTTGTGTTTGTGTGTGTGTGTGTGTGTGTGTGTGTGTGTGTGTGTGTGTGTATGTGTGCCTGTGTGTGTGTGTGTGTGTGTGTGTGTGTGTGTGTGTGTGTGTGTGTGTGTGTGTGTG